GAGCACTGGATTTGGAGTCAGAAAAACCTGGGATCCAGCCTCAGACACTTACTACCTGTGGGACACCAGACAAGTCACTTAACTTCTCTTTGTCCCACTTTCCTTGTCTGTAAAAGAAGGGAATCAGACTTTATGGTTTCTGTGGTCCCCTCCTGCTCTAAATCTATAATGCTATAGGTGGGTGGTAGAACCACAAGGGACCTGAGATATTTCTCAAGATATCTTGAGAGATATTTATAGATATTTATTTAATAGATAAGGAAATGAAGCTCAAAGACTTGAATAGCTTATCCAAGGTCATAGTTCTAGTGGCAGAAATAGGACAGGCATCCTGATTACCAGGCCATCTCTCACTTTTTCCCACATCACATCTTAGTGTATGCCCTTACTGCTATGTTGGATCTCACATGTGGTGGACCTGTCTCTCAGGCATAATATTAACTTGGTTTCTCCATTCTAAAATCTTTCCCACCTCTTAGTTGAAGGTAACAGGTGTTAGCTCCTGAACAACATCCCTAGAGTTATTGGATCAAAGATTCAGAGCTGGAAGGGACCATAGAGGACAATGAGTCTAGCCTTATTATTCTACTGAGGAAACTGAGGTCCTTAGGTGGTTAAGCAATTTATCTAGGGTGACTAAGTAAGAATCTAAGGCAGGATTTGAACCTGTGTTTTCCTGACACTAAATCTACCTCCCTGTCCACTATTGCATAATGCCCCTTGGGCTAGTCTTTAATCCTCAAAAAAGGAGAAGGAAGGCACAATAAGCTATACTCTTTTTTCTGCCTGCTTTCCATTCTCTTTTTATAGGCACACCTTATATAGAGGTGCTTCAGATTAACTTCATTTTATAATAATGATAATATCATTATAACCAAGACCAACTTAAAGTTGTTTATTTTCCCCTCCCCAGAGTATTTGGAATACAAAGAAAAGGAGAAGAGAAGGAGAAAGTATCCCCAAATTAATGTATCTAAAACGTTTGGCTTAATTCCTACAAGTCCAAAGTCACTATTCCATTTGATGCTCTATTTCTCTGGTTTCTGAAAAAAAGGTGAAGTTAGGAGCTTGTCATTCAAGACCTTATGATCCTACTTCTAATCAATAAGACTTCCCCATCTATGTACTGCACTAGGGCTTTATTCCTTTGCGGAGATGGATTGTTCTTACTCCAGATCTGGACAATGGATTAAAAGAAAACCAAAGTCCAAGCTGATGTGAGAGTTGCTATTTTGTTTAATTAGACCTCAAACTTGAGGATGGGAGATCCTTGAGGAGGAAGGAGCTAACCCTTCTCTCTGTCCTCCTTCCAATGGTTGGGTTCATTGCTTCTTGTCTTTGAACCAGTCTATTACCTTTCATCCTATTGTTGATGGCCAAACAATCCTTAAAGGTCCCATTGATGACTTGGTATCATCAATCATGGAAATAGAATGGAAGTAGGGATTTTTTTTTGGTCTGTGTATCAATAGTACTTTGCACATTGCCTAGCACATAGATGGTGAGTTTTTTTCTAGTTGTGTCTGACTCTTCGTGACCCCATTTGGGGTTTTCTTGGCAAAGATGGTTTGCCATTTCTTTCTCCAGCTCATTTTACAGATGAGAAAACTGAAGTAAACAGGTTTAAGTGGCTTGCCCAGGGTCACACAGCTTATAAGTATTGGAGGACAGATTGAACTCACATCTTCCTCCAGGCCCAGCGCTCTAACCACCGCACTCTGTCCTTAGCTGTCCTAAGTTGCTAGCACATAGTAGGTACTTAAATGATAATTGATTGATTGATCTGGACAAATGCTGCATCCCATAAAGAAATCAGCTCTGTAGTGCCTTAGACACCAACTTTTGATGGGAACCCTCCATTATCTCTTGACAAATCTTGTTCTGTGATTGGACATTCCAGAGTAGTAAAGAAGTCTTCTTTATATTGAGAGGAAACCTGTCTCCCTAGAATGTCTACCCTTTGGTCCAAGTCCTCCCTTCTGGAGTAACCCAAAACAAGTCAAATCCACCTCTTCTGTAAGGTTTAAGTTTTCTCTGTAAGCCTTGTTGTTCTGTAGAACAAGCCCTGAGCCAAGAGGAAGGAGACAGAAGTTCTAGTCCTGGCTCGGCTGCTAATTAGCATTATGACCTTGTGGAAATAACTCCTTTCCTCTGGGCCTCCTTCAGTTTTCTCATGAGCTGAAGGAAGACCCTCTTGACTCTAGCCCCTTAATTTCAGAAGTTAAATGTTTGGGAGAAATAAGTGCTTGAATGCCAGTTGTAAAATTGGCCTTGGAGAGAGTGAAAGGGAAAAAGAAAGGTACTGGAAATGTCGATAAACAAAACAAAAGAAGGATGCTCTCTGTAACTTATGCAGTGAGGATTTACATCTGATTTACAGATCTATTAGGTTCATCTGTTTGTTAAAATATCATTCCCAGGCAACTACTACTTCTCACTACAGCTAGGATCTCTCAGAATCACTATATTAAAGACCTTTGAAAAGCACACACATTTCTGTAAGGTCTGGGCTCCTGCTGGTTTTTTGGGGGGCTGCCTTACATTTCAGATTAAGGGCTGCTTCCCATCTCCGAATCTGGTTCTTTTTCTGTTAGCGATTCAGTGATGTGGGGAGGGAGGTGCGAGGCAAGGATGGGCTAGTGAATCAGCAATGTGTTTTCCAATGATGAAGGCTTTGGGACTAGAAAGGTGTGGCATGGGGAGGATGATAGTTGAGGAACTGTGTGGGTGATCAGCTGTGGAGTCCTTCATACCACCCATCATGCTTCAGCTTTAAGTGCCATTGAATCGTTCTTGGTCAACATGAGAATGTACCCATCCAAGCAACAGATCAATTTCACGATATGCACCAAAATCAGCCAAATTGGGCACTCAATATGGTGTAGACCCCAGCCAAATTAAAATCTACCTCAGCCTGGTTATTGGCTACTCCTGTCAAATTTCCAACCAGCTACGTTGTCCGTGTGTGTAGGCATCGCCTTAATGAAACCAGACCTTAACTGTCTGGGCAATGTTCATGGCTTCATGGCAGTAGGGGAAGTGAGCAGTGAGGAGCTGTGGTCACTGTGCATTTGCTCCTCTTAACCTCCTCTTTTCTCCTCGAACAGTTGTATTCTGATGAGATTAGGTTAAAAGTTTCTAGAGACAGAGACTGTCATCACCTTTGTATTGGTATCACTAGTGCCTCGTGCAGAGCTAGATATAGGAGGTGCTTTGATAATGCGTATTGATAGCAGTGGAAAGAGGTAGTAGACAGGGAGCTGGCCTTGGTCACAGGAGCTGCAGGAGCCCTCTACACCAATGAAATCACAATTCCAAATGTAACTCATTGATTAATTGGTTAAGGGCAGCTCAAATTTATTTTGAACAAAATTGATTAAGATATACTCTGTGCAAAGCACTCTGCTAAGTGCTAGGGATGCAAAGACAAAGAGGAGAATTGTCCCTCCCCTCAAGGAACTTAAAATCTACTAGAAAACATGTCACAAAAGGATTTGTGTGGAAGTAGAAAGGGACCAGGCTCCCTTTTGTTTTGAGAATGGAGGCTGTTGTTTTTGGGATGGTTGTATGGCTAGGAATCTTTTTAGTACCAGCTGGTAGACCCACCTCCTTCTACTCCTGGTGGCCTCATGAAGGTTAGAGGCCTTGGGTTCACATCATGGCTCCTATACCAACTAGCTGTGTGATGCGAGGAAAGTCACTTGATCTCTCTGTCTCAGTTTCTTCCTCTGAAACTGTTAATCTTGAGTGAAAGACAACAACTAACCAACTATAGAATCATTGTGAGGACAGTGATTTGTAAACCTTAAATCACTATACAAATATTAATTATTCTTGTTACTACATGATCTCAGTCATCTCATTGACAGCTTTTTGTCACATCTGAAGTCGTTAACCTGGTCTCTCTGAGACCCAGCAATTAGAATGATTAAGGAAGATAAAGAGAACTAATCTACAACCCTACACTGTCTGAGTCTATTACTGACCGCTGTTTAAGCCCAAATTGGGAGTCTTCTTCACAGGATGCTGCCTTAGGGGAAATAAGGTTGGGGATGATCTTGCCAGCAAGAGAATATCACACATAGACATTTAAAAATGGAAGATGCACAGAGAGAAAATAAATAATGAACAGGGAACAAATATAATTGAGTATAAATTCTGAACATGTAAGGGCTGTATCAAAAAATCTGATTTAGGAGCAATTTATGCCAATTGGCAGGAACCTAAGAGTTGCCAGAAATGTTTCTGAATTAATTCTAAATTGGTATATGAATATCAAACTGGCTTGACGCCATTGGGAGAAAACTGATCATGAGTCTTTAATCAAGCCCAACTTCCAGCTTCTTTCATCTTTTCATTTTAAATACCACATTAAGATTTGAAATATACCAAAGGACAAAACTTTTGGTCAGAAAAGACAAAAAAGTAAGGTTAGCAAGGCATGCAACTTACAGAGCTTGGTTACCTTGGGTTTGGGGGAAATTTAGGCATATACTGACCCATGCTTGGGCAATGGGGAGATTTGGAAAATATGTCAGGCAAATTGTGGGGTGAAAAGATAAGAGTGGCTTCTGCTTTCCAGATGTTTCCTATTGATAAATCATGTCCTACGTGTGAGGTTTCTGTTGCATGTGGGAAAGGGACAAGCATTTAGGCAAACACAGATCTGCCTTCTAAATAGTGACACAGACTCTGTGAACAAGGTCAGTGAACGTCACTTGGCTCAAAGGCCCCTTATGCCCATGCTGGTCCCTGCCAATAACCACTTCCAAGTGCCTGAAATTCTGATCATGCATATTCATCAGAGATTTATTTGATAAACAGATCTTGAATATTCATCTGCATACCGTATATGTGGATGACTAAATTCACAAATGTTAGAGAATGTTTCTGAAACCAGCAGACTAGGGGATAGGATATTTGTGAAGTTTTCCCCTATACTTGATAGATGTTAAAAAAAAAATCTCCCTCCCCACCCCCCCCACTTTTTTTTTTTTTACCTCTTGGCCCATTTCCATACTGCAAAGTTTTGTTGATTGGGCCTTGGCATCAACCATAACATTAAACATGGTGCATATTGACTGTGGGACTCGGAAATCTGTCGATCGGCTGGTTTTTTGCAGCTTAACTTCAAATGCAATCCTGGTTCTATTAAAACAAAGTAGGGAAAGATCATTTCAATGTTAAGACTGTAACAGGTGGAGGAGACATTTCAAGGGAGGGCAGTGAAATAGAAAGCTGAATATGATCATCAGTAGCAGTCCACAATGATTTCAAATAGGTGCTGATGAATATGAATTTTCAGACTCAAGAGGGCCATATGGAGTAGGTCCTGGTCAAGAAAGCTTCTAGCCTCTACAGGACATGCCATAGCCACAATAATAGTCAGAGATAGTGTAAATTGGAATACAGAGCCTGTTGAGTTTGAATGCCCAAAGTCATCTTCATTCACTTCACAAAGAGTTTTGATGGTGGTTGGACTCTGCAGCATATTAAATCAACCACACCTTCTGATGCTCCCTGAGGAAGGATGCATAGCTACCTGCTGTCTTGATGTACTATCATGGACCAGAAGCATGCCAAGGGGGAAGGGCGGACATCGGAGACCTCAAAGCACCATAGCTACAGAGCACTGCCCCAATCAAAGTTTTCCTCTTTTTTATTCCCGCTTCAGTTTCACATAGACCATCAAGGTTCATTTTACCTCTCTTGCTTAAATGTGCTAGTTGGGGGCAGCCTGACAAGAATGGAAATGTCCAGGTACCTTCCTGGGAAAAACAGATACACCTGCTCCTTTCCCATCTCTATAGCTCTGTTGCACTTCTCTCACAGCCGTTCTAATAGAGACTATCCTGATTTCAGATAAAATCCTTCCTTTCTTGGCAGTCCAGTATGTACCTGAAACTTGATGTATTAACAGCCGCACCGAATGTGCTATGGGAACCCATGAGTATGGAAAAATTAACTCATTAACTAATGCTCCATGGTAAAATTATTGTATATGCAAGTTCGTTCAGTTTGCCAATTGCCTTGTTTTATTTTTTTCTTTTTCCAGAGAAAGATTCAAGAGCAGTTTCTAATCTCCCTGTACATTTGATGGGGAAAAACGAAACCATGACGACCTTATTCTATTGCCTTCTTACTATAAAGACCTTCCCCCCACTTTAAAACTTTTTAATGCACATCTTAATTCAGAGGCAGTCAGTAATGCAATAGAATCTCATTGTAACAAGAGTCAGGTATGTTCAATTGGTACTGTTATGGACTCCTCCCCAATGTAACGAGAAAAGTCTTGTCAGTATCAGGGGTGGGGACCTTGTGGCCTTGAAGCCACATGTGGCCCTCTAGGTCCTCAACTGTGGCCTTTTTGACTGAATCCAAACTTCACAGAACAAATCCCCTTAATAAAAGGATTTATTTTGTAAAACTTGGTCCCAGTCAAAAGGCCACACCCAAGGACCTAGAAGGCCACATGTGGCCTTGAGGCCACAGGCTCCCCATCCCTGGATATGCCTTGCCAACAATCTAGGGGTGACTCCTACCCCTTGAGATGAATGTGATAAAGGGGAACTCTTCCGTATTTAAAAAGGAATCAGGAAATAACGGGACCCATAAAATTCCATTCTATTTTAATTGTAACAAGTTAATGTCACTTAGTTTCTATGGACCTCAGTTTCCTCATCTATAAAATGGGGTTGGTAAAAGAACTGCCCTCACTGCACTGTTGCAAGAGAATTTATGTAAAGTGCTAAACAAATGTTATTATAATTTTTGTTGCTTGCATTATCCCATTATCACTTACTAATAAATAACACAAATCATGTCACTTGTCTCAGAAATCTTACTAACAATGGGACAACCAAAATTAAACACTAGTCTGATTGAGGAAAGAGTGATGAACATACACAACAGAACCTTAGTGTACTAAGGTAAATTGAAGTGGAATTTTAAGGTCAGAATTCATATTCTTTAAAAAAATATATATATATTTTTAAAAAGAATCATCCATAAATTGCACACAAGCACATTAAAAGGTAAACATGGCTTAACTTGTTTTCTTACCACAGTGCTCATTTAGCAGCAAATACAAATCCATTCTATTTTTTGTGTCTTGAGCAACAAAGATATTTTATGGTTAAAGAATCGCCAAATAGCCCTTTCAAGTGAGGCTACTAAAGCTCGTGCTACAGTTAGACCAAAGAAAGATATGGAATGGAATGCGTCTTTCAATTCCCATTCCTTTAACTCTGTCCCATTCATTTTCACAGGAGAAGTGACCTCTCTTCTGTTAAGTTCAAGGATTGTTGGGAGGTGGAAAGATGTGCCTGCATGAATACAAAGTCTTGGAGTAGAATTAGAAGTGAGAGGGCTGAACAGATGGCTGCTTCTACCTGTAACAGACTGGAAAGCCAACCAATGTATGAGTAGCTTATGAAATTGATTTAAATTTCAATAAAACCTAGACATTCCTAGACATATTTCCTTAACTGCTTTAATATTCCATATCCAGTATATTTGTTCATTATGTAGTATCAGGATACAGACAAGTTCCAGGTCCGAAGCATGGGCTCCATGTTGTGAATCTTGAGGCTAAGATATACGATTTGATAACACTTTCGTGTGACTTTTGCGTGACTCAAGGTATCTCTTAGAGACCCCTGAGTATATTTTCTCAATTCTTAATTCTAAGACTTGAGTTTGATCATCTGAATTGGGAGAATCTATCAAGGAATCACATACTCAGGGCCAACTGAAGGCAAATTTATGAAATGGACAAATGTCATTTCTCACCCCACCCTCTGCTTTCAATTCTTTCAGCCTTTCCCAATGCTGACAGGTCAAAGAGTCTTCATGCTATGTATAGCCTTCCTTCATGTCCTCATTTTTGCCTCCACTTTCATATGTCTATTAAAATGAACCTGATCACTGTGAATGCTTGAATGGGTTATCCTTCCATGGTAACATCAATTTCAGCAGGGATTTTTCTGGAGAGGAGTGACTGTAATGGTTATGGATTACCTGGTCATCTTGGTTGGTGGAGGCATAAAACTTTTGGGCTGGGCTATTGTGAGACCTTTCAGTGTCTGTCAGATTCTACCATGGAGCTGTTCTTACATTCTGTTTATGTTCAGGGTTAACTACTAATGGATATACTTTTTTATATTTTTGATAGGCATGAGGAAAGGAATCTGAGAAATGTAGTTATGGTTGCTGTAGGATATATAGAAAATGGCATTAAAAGTTCCATTGAGGTCTGATTGAATGGGTTACCTTTGAATTTTGGGAGAAGGTTATAGAAGGAAACCAGAGCCTAGAGCAGGGATGGGGAACTTTCAGCCTCGGGCCACATGGGGCCCTCTAGGTCCTCAAGTATGGCTCTTTGACTGAATCCAAACTTCATAGAACAAATCACCTTAATAAAAGGATTTGTTCTGTAAAAGTTGGACTTAGTTACTGATTCCCAGCTGGTCTGTCTTTGAGAACATACCTTTTGTCAGTCCAGAGCCTAAGATTCCCCTTGGCATGTTGGGAGTTTGGCTCCCTTCCCCTGCAGTAGCCATGTATATATGTATCAATCAGTTGTTTTTCCCTCTGAAGCATTAACTCAATGCAGCTGGCATCGGCCACACCCAAGGACCTAGAAGGCCACATGTGACCTTGAGGCTACAGGTTCCCCGCCCCTGGCCTAGAGAATCTCAAACTTGAAACTTGAAGTAGCATCAAAATGGCTCCTCAGACCAGCTATTGCCATGGCAATAATCTGTTGCCTTAGGTTGCCCTCATCCTCCTTCACTTACATAGCTTTGAACTTCTCCTCTTCCTCAAAATAGGAGAAGATGGTGACATGAATTCCCATCTTCCTCATCCCAACAAGTGCAGCTGACTTTCTGTGGTACATGATATCTTAAGAAACATGGGATTGTTCACTAGTTTTTTTTTCCAGTAAGATTAAAAAAAATAATGCATTTATATTCTGGAGTGGCTCCTGCAGGTACTGCATGGGATTGAATCTGGCACTATGGCTATGCTGATCAATTGATATAAATTTTATGGCACTTCTGCATCTGTCGTCCTTCTAGATCCCCTACTTTTCTTTACAAGTGGTGTGGACATTTCAGTAGCCCCATTCCATCTCTCTCTAACATAAAAAATGTCCTTTCTGTACTCAAGTGATGAAATAGGTACTTCTTGGGCAGAGTATTTATTCCATGAACTATTCCCTCTCTTTGGTATATCTATTTGGCTTTACATTTTCCCAGAACAGCTGTAACTAGGAAAAGATGACTGAATTTAGATTGTGCTCACAACACTTATAATCCTTTAATGACATAGGAACAATAGAACTTAGCACCTAGTTAACAAGAATTTCTTCTCCCTTCTTTCCCTCCTTTTTCTTTATTTCTTTCATTTTCTCTTTCTTTCTTCCTCTCTCCCTCCCTCCTTCCTTCCTTTCTTCTTTCCTCTTTCTTTCTTTCTTTCTTTCTTTCTTTCTTTCTTTCTTTCTTTCTTTCTTTCTTTCTCTCTCTCTCTTTCTCTCTCTCTCTCTCTCTCTCTCTCTCTCTCTTTCTTTCTTTCTTTCTTTCTTTTCTTCTGTTGAGATGCCTCCTTGATGAGCACCTTCTTCAGTGGTGCTCTTTAGAACCTACCAACTGACCAAATGCAAAGTTGCTCAACTTTGACTTGCCTGCCACATACTTAATACTTGCTTGCTGGCTTGACTAGCCTTAACAGTGTAACCACATTAATTGAGCTGCTTTTTTGGTGGTTACTGCATTGTGCGCATGATCCAAAGGCCAAACGTCATTTTCTGGTAGCCATGTTCATTTTCTCTCCCTAGTATACCTCATCAGAATCTGTTATTCATCCTCCAATAAAGTCAGTGGGCTGAAGCTAAGCTGTGGAGGCACACGGGCTTACCTTTTCACACAGGACTCAATCATATCACTCGCCATCAGTTTCAGACGTTGTTCTAGGTGCTTTCCAAACTCTTCCTCAGGCCAGTGCAAATCCCTAATGAAAGTCTGCAGAGCATCAAGTTTCCAGAAGAGGTCTTCAGAGGTGCCTGATCCATTACTGGCAGGACAGAACAAAAGCAAAGGTCATACGCTACTCACCGCTTAAAGCAACCCGATCACGCCAACAACTGTGCTTGGGGCAAACAGTGGTTCTAACGTACAAAACACGGTGGCAGGGTGGGGGGGATTTCCACCAGCAGGATTTTGAGTTTTACCATACATTTACCTAGTCAGCTGGGTTAATCAAATCATTCCAGACCAATAAGAAGAAGATAAAATGATATATGCCTTAGAAGAATGACTAGGGGAGAGGTGTATGGTAAAAATCAGCCTTCTTTCAATAACCACATTAACATATGTGATGATTCACATGAAGGCCACATGTTGAGATAGAAAAATCTCGATCAATAATAACTACATGTCAGCATCATGCAGTTATCCAGATTCAGAGCGTCATGCATTTCCTCCGCTCCCCTCCAAACCGGAGGGCTCTTGGAGATTTCAGATTGCCAGGTAAAGGACAGTGCTAACAAGTGGTGAGCGAGGACATGCTTTGTCTCTTGTGGGGCCAGAACAAATCGATTGACCTTGGGTCCACTGAGATATCTTGAATCCAAGATCTCGGTTTGCTTTATTGACTCAGATTTTTCTCAGGCCAGCCTATTGCAAAGGCAGCTTCAAGACTGGGAGCTGGGGAGGCTAATGTGATATATGCAAATGCTTTGGACCAGTGATAAGACCTGAGCCCTTCCACCAGCTCGTGGACTTTACCCACTCTCCTGTACTGACTGAGCCATCAGTCTCCATGTGGTTCTTTATAATGGCATCTAAAAAACATTCACCTGGGGAAGCAAACTCTGGGCCTGGATAGTATTGAGTGGGTACAAAGAAAATGCTCCACATTTCACCCTTTTGCCGTTCTCTGCTTCAGCCTCTCTCTTGTAGCAAGGACAGTGGGAGCTCTGAGAGATGCCACCCCCCCTCCTCGCATACCACGAATGCTAACACAGTAATTTATAAGATGTCCAACACACCATGCATTACCACTTGTTCTGACATCGTCTATAGAAACAGATGAGAGTGGGTGTTTCTATTGTGACAGATGCCAGCTGCATTGAGTTAATGCTTCAGAGGGAAATACAACTGATGCATATATGCATACATGGCTACTGCAGGGGGAGGGAGCCAAACTCCCAACATGCCAAGGGGAACCTTGGACCCTAGACTGACGAAAGGGATGTTCTCAAAGACAGACCAGCTGGGAATCAGTAACTAGATGTTTCTGACACAAAGGAGAAGGTAACATGGAAACATGTCCTTAGAATGAAAAGTGATCAAAGGAAACTGGAATCATGAAAAGATATAGAATCAGGCATTTTCTGGTGGGTGATTGTGAAATGAGGCCTTCTTTTTCCTTTTTTTTTTTTAAATGAAGGAATTAACTGTGTGTGGAAGTTCAGCCTTTCCCCATCCTATGCTTGGAAAACACCCCACAACTTTGACTAGTCTAAGCCCCGTTTTGGAACTGCATGGTTGTATGTTTTAAATCATTAAGTACATATGAATGCAATGATTGGTATTTATTACAACAACATTTTGACACCCATCTGGTTTCATAGTTTCAGAAAATTTCTTCTAGGGTTTTTTTTTCTTTTGAAGAGCTTATTATTAAGTTTTGACATGAGGAAAAGAATATTTTCTTTTTATTTTTGAGATAAACTGTTAATGTTAAGGCAATAGCACCAAAATTATTTTGATTGCTTAGCAGTTCCCAAAATGTGTTCCCACTCATGCCTTAATTAATTGAACAGAGACCATTATCTGCATTATTATCATGTCTTGATTCATATCTTTTCAAAAAAAAAAAAACAATGTCACAGAGCATGCACAGGGGGAAAGAATAAAAGCTTTCATGTATTTTTAATTTTTGTAACAGATACTGCCTAAGCTAACTTTTAACACTGTCATCTTAGCATGGATATGACTTGGGTTTCTTTCATGGTTTTGTTTCCAAGAAAAGTTTTGGGAGATTTTTTAGTTGTTTTTCTAAAGATAATCAGACACATTGATCATATCATTCCACTGTTATTTCATCCAGATAGAATTTTTTCTCTTAAGGTTTGGCTTTAAAAAAAGTTCCAAGTATAGATATAACTGACATGCTTAGTTCTTTACTTGGACTGTTAAAAACAAAACAAAACAAAACAAAAAAACCCCTAAACTGGTGCAGGGCTACCTTGATGAATGTGATTTTGAGATATTACAACATCACTATCCTCTGGAAGCCATTTTTTATTCCTTTGATTAAAATGCTTCCCTTTGAAAATGTGCCAGTTTCTTCTTTCAAGGAAAAGCTTATTGGGCCTATAATTAGCAGCTGTATAAGAAAAAGGATCAAAGCAGGGTGTAGAATGGCTAAGCCTTATTCACTTATTTAATCATACACGTGGTTCTAATTTCATTTCCATGGGGTAAAGTTGGGGAACACTGGTTCTCCTTCTTGATAGGGGGAAAAAGATGAGAGGACTCATTTCCTAAAGTGGAAGATGTACTTACAAAAATTTCTAGGAAGACCATTTGTTCATCTGTTTACCTGCGCCAAAGAGAATAACCATTTCTAATCCTTTTTGGGAAGGTGTTTGTAAAAGTAGGTCTTCCAAATAACAATGCTCATTGATTTCGGGATGGTTTAAATGATGACTTCTTTACTGCTCATATTCTGTATCCATTACTAACTGTTAGCCATTTGTGAATACTCTACTAGTTAACAACTTTAAGGACTCTGGATATCACTGGCATGGGTCTTCCCTTCAACTATGTAGACCATTAGCAAGAATGACCTACTCAGAAGAGCTTATTATCATTCTGAAACATGTTGCCTGGTTATTAGAGAGCCGAAGAATCACAAAGACATCTAGGAAGGCGACGGTGGACTATACTGGGCCTGCAACTGGTCCAAGACTAGGGGCCAAGCCATTGCTAAGGTCTCTTGTGCCCTTCCACATGAACATTTGCAAGAGCTCATATTACCTGTATCAGTTAAAAAACAAACAAACAATTCTTTTGTAAAAAACTGGAAGCAAAAGTCAGCTCCCCAAGCTTTTGGTGGGCGTAAGACAAATTGTTAGTGCTGAATATAGAAAACTCCTTACAAACACCACGCATGCCAGAAATAAACAATATTGTCTCTGTATGATCAGCAAAATATGTCTAATTATCTGTCTCCATCTCTGTTTCGAAATTACATAGGATGCATAGAAATAAACAATACATATCCATGCCAAGATCACTTAAATTTAAATTAGAGCTAATGTGGACTGAATACACACTCAGCATCATAGATAGCAGCCATCCATGACGGTGCCGAAAAAGTAGGCATTTGTGGGATGCCTAGAGGGATGTTAACTGGTAGATTGGGTACTTTGGGTAGATTCACATTAGGTAGATTCACATTGGGTAGGGTACTGGTTAAACTCCTGTGGAAGAAACAGACAGAAAGAAAAAAATACCATCACAATGACCATGTAGATGTGGCAGAAGCAGGGGAGAACTGTAACTCAATTGGTTAAGTCAACAAGGAGACAACGGGGAGCAGCACACATCAGCACATCAGAGAGCAAGGAGCCACAGGTATAGGAAGCTTCCCTGGGGCTTAGCACTCAGAAGCAGACGGCAAAAACATTGACTGATTAAAAAAAATGAGTCAAAATTGGAAGGGAGCTTATCGACACCCACATGCAATGATCACATATTTCCCTCGCCTTTTGGGAATTGGCTTTTGTTTCCAGATCTTGACAATGATGGTCTAAAATCTGATGGGTCCAAAATGTGCACAGCACAGTGGAAAAGGTGCAGGCTTTGGGGTCTGGAGACCCGGCTTGAAATCCTAGATCTTACTGTATGACCTTGGGCAAGTCGTTTCCCTTCGTCTATCCCTCAGTTTTCTTCTATGTAAAATGAGGGGGGGTTGGACTAGATGACCTCTAAGATCCTTTCGAACTCAAAATAATAATCCTATTTTAGATGGATGGAACTGTTATTACCAGCCCTGAACCTTCATAGCTGGAAATTTCAATGTTGCAGGAATAAGTGTAGATACTGAAATCATTTATGAGACTGTTGCATGGTGGATAGTGAGCCCTCCTTGAAGTCAGGAAGACTTGAGTTCAAGTCTCACCACTGACACCTACTGGCTATGTGACTCTGGGCAAGTCACTTAACTTCTCAGTAACTCCAATCAAATGTCTAAGGCTCTACTTTACAGAACTGGTAGCAATCTACATTGGTAGAAAGTATTCCTCATTGGGAGTTCCCAACACCAATTAAATCATCGGTTAGGCAAAAAATCAAAAAGGAACATTTTCTTCTTGCTTTTTTTTTGTTTTTGTTTTTGTTTTTTTGTTTTTTGGCATGAAGAAGTTGTTAATAGTTATTTAGCTTTTGAGATAGACTAATTACTCAGGGCAATATTCTCTTGGGCATTTCTTGAGCCCCATGGTAACAGATAATAACATGCTGCTCACCTGCATCAACGTTTGGGAGAGGGTGGAGACTTTAAAGGTGACAGGCAGAAATTGAAAGCTATAACCGCTGCTTTCAAAGCCAATGAGGCCAGAGCATAGGGAAAATTTTTTTTTAAGAAGTATTAAGAAAAAAGGTTAACCTTTGTTTAATCTTACAAAGACCAAAAAGAGAATGAAAATGTCTTCTCTGAGGTTAATTTCATCCAACTTGAAGTAGATAGAAATGTGTGGGATTGGAAAGTAAAGTATTCCAAAAATGTTTTTTTAATACTAAGTTCTTAGATACAGCAAAAAAAAATGTATTTGAACTGTTAGATTAGAGTTTGTTTGTTCTTCCAGGGAAGACTGGGCTAGTTGGTGTATGATTTCTTATTGTCAAAGGAGGAATCAACAATAAGGACAAAAGAAGTCTCTCTCTCTCTCTCTCTCTCTCTCTCTCTCTCTCTCTCTCTCTCTCGATCTGGGTCTCTATTTCTCTCTATTTCCGTCTCTGTCTCTCATTCTCTGCCTCTCTCTCTCTCTCTTTTGATGTGTG